GGGACGCTCCAGAAAGGGACGTCTCCCACTGCCTAGGGGTTATGCCCGGTGCGTTGGGAGGAGGATGAGACACAGGTATCAGTGTCCTTGGTAAGGAGCCCTGGCGTGGAAGTGGGTTACACGTTGGGCTGCTAACCACAAGGTCAGCATTTTGAACCCACCAGCGGCTCTGCGGGAGAAAGATGAGGCTTTTTGCTCCCCTAAAAAGTGACAGCCTGAAACCCCACAGGTGCTGTACCCTGCCCTGTAAGGTCCGTGTGAGTCAGGATTGGATGACTGAGTTTTTGAGATGCCCTTGATAGATCCGAGTGCAGGCCAGCGGGCAAGTGTGTATACCTGCTCCTACTTATCAACCCACTCTGCCATGTCTCATTGTTGAGAGGAGTGAAAAATCTATCCAATTTTGTGCGTTGAGAGGTGGGCTTGGCTTCAGAGCGTCCCCTCCCTCAAGGAACGTCTCCGGGAAGCCTCCAGAAGTTGGCCAGTGCTGCCCTGGGCCTCTGCCTCCTCCAGCCGCCTCGGAGACAGCCTCCTCTATGACCACAGCCTCCCGGTGGACCCGCAGGTAGCCGGGATCTAGCAGGCATCTGTTGTGGGTTCCCAGGTCCTGGGAAGCCTGAGGTCTCCCGCTCAAACTTGCTGTAGGGGATGAGGGCAGAAAGGGAGGGGCCCCATCTTTGAGGGGGCTGGGGTGGAAGAAATGCTTGGGAGTTTAGTGAAGTCCCACAGTGAGTCAACTGGACCTGAAACGTCCACCCCAAGGGAGGTTGGGGGCTGTGCTTGCCTGAGCCCCAGAGCCCTTCCAGCAATCCCTGGTGAGTCCTGGGCCTGGAGGGCGGTGCAGGACCCTGAGACGGGAGCTGGGGAGAAAGGTGAAGTGCATTCATTGGCAGCCTTTGCCCAGCTTGGTCTCCTCCAAGACGCCTTCGCCAGAGGACTAGTGTCCATCGCCTCAGTAAAGCTTAGCTGTGCTGATGTCTGCGGTCCTTTTTTCTAAACTTAAAGAATCAGCTACATGGATGACCTGGAAACAGAAAGAATGCTCCTTTTTCCCAAAAGTGGGCTGGATTTGGGAACCTAACCAGGCTGAGAAGTGGAAAGCGGGTGTGATGTAGTAAATGGAGTCTAGCACACGGTTGGCGGAACGCTCCTTAAACACAAAACAAAGGGGCCCCAAAAGAAAAGGGAAAAAATAGGTTGCTTAAGGCTAATGGGAGCTCCAGGTGATTTACTGGGAGGGGAGGGGTGGGGAGGGACGGGCGCACGGAGGAAATGGCTTTCAGGTGACTTTGAAACGAAACTGGATCCCGGCAGAGGGTGGGGCAGACGGAGGCGGGGTGTCCTTGCGCCTGCCGGCTGGGGTGGAGTAAGGGGCTGCCGGCTCGTGGGTGGCAAGGCCCGCATTCTTCGGGAAGGCAAGGTCTGCCCCAGCGGCGCTGCGCCCGAGCCCCACGCTCATCTCCTGTTAAGACGTGAGCCGAGTTTGCGGGAGGGGGTGGGAGACACGCTCTTTGCGACACTGCCTTGGGGCTGGAGATCTTTCTGGAGGTGAGATGAGGCAGTCCATCGTCAGCTTCCTTCTCTGATCAACCAAATCCTAAACCAAACGCACGTTTCCAACTCACAGTGACACCCCCTTCTCCCACGGACAGGGCAGAACTGCCCCTGTGGATTTCTGACTCTGTCACTTCACGGGAGTGAAGGAAAGCCGCATCTTTGGGACCTAAGCTAGCAGCCAACTCCTAACCACTCTACCGTCGGGGTTCCGCCCAAATCCTACCCACTTCAAACCCCACTTCCCAAACAGACCCCTGGCCTAAGCCACTGCTGAGTCAAAGAACCAGTCAGTTTCCCTCACCCTCCCTCCTATGTGCAGGGGTTGTGCCTTGCACTGACAAACATGGTCACTGACTCCTGAAGCCACCACCCAGTGAGGTCACAGGCCTCTCCCACCCCATTTACTTACACAGGGTCCTGAGGATCAGAGGGAGCAAACAACTTGGCCCCCACCACCCAGCCAGCAAAAGCAGACCCCAACAAGAGCCCCGAGGGGCTCAGTATTGAAATGCTATGTGCCAGGATTGTTCTCTGCGCAATGGCTGTGATGGAGAAGAAACGAACCGAGACAGGGCCCCACAGCTAGTGGGGTACCTTGCTCCTCACCGCTCTTTGACCTTGCTTATATTCAATTCAGCACATGATTATCCCTGGCATTGTTTCTAACTGATCGTGTGTAGGCCTTGTTTCCTACATAGATTGCAATCTACAGCAGGAGTTGTATATAGGAAGTGTGCTGAGTTTGAATGAAACGGCTTGTGAGAAACCACCCCAAACTTTGCCAGAAACAACTTTCAAGAATAGAAGTCTATGGCCCAGCCCAGAGCCCCTCAGCAGCATCCCCTCCCAGCTCAGAGCCTCTCTTTCCTAGCCCCCTCCCCCCCTTTCTAGCCTAGATGGCCTCGCCCTACTATTAAATTATTTATGACTATAATGATACCTTGTGCCTCAGTGATGCCTTTCATCCAAGATCTTAGAGAGCGCTAACAAATACAGGTGAATTCATCTTCGCTGTACCCCCATAGAGATGGGGAGATGGTGGTATTCTCCCCATTTTACTGGTGAGGAAACCAAGACAACACAGCTGAGATGGCTCGTGAAAGAAGTCAGAGGCGGGGGTTCATCTCCCATCCCTTAACTCCTCCCCCTGTCCTAGCTCTGGCTGCCAACACTGGCCTCAAAATTTCTTCAAATCTGAGATACAAAGGCCATTGAGTTTTCACAATAAAGGACATTTCCAAAGTGTCCTTTCAGCTGCTCGATTGTGGCCAACCTCAGGAGAGGGAGGGAATGTAAACAAGTTCCCAGGCGCTCTGAGCGCCCGGCTCAGAGAAGGAAGCTGGCTGGGGGAGCTGAAGCCCTGGTCAAAGATG